ACGTGGGTGCAATAAAATTACTGCTGGATGACAAATCTGACAGTGAAGACAAATACTTGCATTTTAAAGCTCTTTATATAAACCTCTTGCCCCAAATGTATGTTTCATTCATGGTGTTATACGATCTATGTGTGTGTCACTGGTAACACTCTTGACTCCGAGTCTGAAAGTCGTGGGTTCAAATGCCACGTCGGGATTTGAACTCATGGATTCTAAGATGTCACTTCAATGTGGCATTGTTAAACCGAGGTCCCTGTTCAGGTGGACGTGAAAGATTCCACGCCACTATTTGAAAAAAGAAGGGAGTTTCTCCCAGTGTCCTGGCCAACACTGCCCCAAATAAAATTGTTCATTCGTTTCACGGCCATTTGTGGGATATTGCCTTGTGCAATTGTGCTGCCACATGCTATTATTTCACAGTAAATCCTATGAAGGACGTTGAGCCATCCTTCCAATGTGGTAAGGCACTAGACCAATAGCAAGGATTATTATTATAATTATTATTCATTATTATTTATAATAAAGTGACCCACTCATTAAGGAATTTCTTTCAAAGCAGCATCCAATGTATGGAAAAAAAGTGAATTAAAGAGAAAAGAGTCTTCAAAACCCACTTTCGCCCTGACTCCCTCTCCCACCAACTCCTTCTCTCCCAGAACAGAATTCACTGTATGGCAGCACACAGAATTTGACACAGAGTGGTTGATGGACGATACCAGACATGCCACACTGCACTACAAACAGTTGATCTGGGAAGAATGATTATAATGATTAGTATAAAAATATAGGATAAAGCCTCAGAGAGCTTCACAGAGATGATAAGAGATGCCGAGCAAGGGGGAGATGACTGTATGCATGGTCGAAGAGGTCAGATTTTAGGCAGATAGAGAGGGGGGAACGAGATGGAGAGGAGTTGGAAAATGTGGAGAAGGGCCCGCCCACCACTTCAGTCAAGTATCCTCTTTGCTCTTACAATAAAACATCGCTAGCAGGACTGGCAAACTGTAAGTACAGTTTGCCTATCAGAATACTTTTTATTAATTACACAAGGGAAGAGTGTAACTAGCGTTACCAGGCACTTAATGTAGGGAGTGAAAAGACTTATCATATAATATAACAATCCTTACATTTGATATAGCGCCTCATCACATCTTCGAGACGTCTCAAAGCGCTTCACAGAATATACTGTAAAGTGAATTGACTCTAGATTTTGTGAGCAAAATGCTCCAGCCAATTGTCCCAGAGTGTCTCACAAACAGTTGTGGATTGAGTGATCGATTTTTTCAAAGGAATTATTACTCCCGGAAAAGCGATCCGCCAATCAACTAACAACCAGGTTCCTACTTACTGCTAAGTAAACAGAATCATGTAGAGAAAGGAAACTTGCCCAACATTTCGCCCTGCCGGGAATCGAACCCAGGTCACTCGCTTGCAAGGACTCCACAAGGAGGATGTAATTTTGTTGTTGTTGAACATGCCCAGCTTATCTAATCGCTCCTCACAGTCCAGACCAAATAATCCTTGGATTTGATATAATGCCTTTCACGTCAGGAAGATGTCTCAAAGTCCTTCCCAAGATTTTACTGTAAGTTGCAGTGGATGTGTGTATTTTTTGTAGGTGAATGTTTGAACGTTATAGGCTCTATATTGAATGTGAGATTTATTATTTTCACCACCTCAATCAAAGAAAACCTGTAAATTAGTTTAGCAGGATCTCCCATTCATAAACCTATGATTACTTTTACCACTCAAGCCACTTAGTCAAAAGGTTGTAGATTGAAGCCTCACATTGAGACTTGAGCTCACAGTCTAGGCTGACACTGCAGTGGTGGAGGAGCTTTGTCAAAACTGTTTTTCTTTAGATTATATCCTGTTTGTAAGGGGATATTAAAGACCCTATGGCACTGACCCGAGACCTTGAGATGTCATCCCGACATGAAAAGCACTATACAAAAAGTAATTTGTTGTTGTTCCGTACACAACCTAGGCATCAGGTTCGACCCCAATTATCTTTCCTCCCCCACATCCGGTCCCTCACCAGCACCGCTTTCTTCCACCTCCAACGCATCGCCCGTCTCCGCCTATACCTCACCTCAAAAGCCGCCGAAAACCTGGTCCATACCTTTGTCACCTCTCGGCTGGACTATTTAAATGCCCTCCTCGCGGTCTCCCCTCCACTACCATCCATAAAATTCAGATCATCCAGAACTCTGCCGCCCGCATTCTTACCCGCACCAAACTCCGCTCCCCAATTACCCCAGTTCTTGCCAGACTGCACTGGCTGCCTGTCCCAGAGAGAATCAACTTCAAGATCCTCACCCTTGTCTTCAAATCCCTCCACTCCTCTGCACCCCCCTACCTCTCTGACCTCCTCTCTCCTCGCAACAGTGCCCGTTGACTTCACTCCACCGGGTCTGGCCTCCTCCTTATCCCACGAATCCTCTGCTCCACCATCGGTGGCCATGTCTTCAGCCACTATGCCCGAGGCTCTTCCTCACTCCCTTCACCTCGTCCCGTCTCTTCCTGTTTTCAGGTCTCGGCTGAAGACCTTTTTTTTCAACTGTGCCTTTGGTCACCTTCCTCCCCCTCCCCCTGGCTCGGCCCCGGGATCCGTTACTGTAAAGCGCTCTGAGACGCCGTCCAGCGTGGAGGACGCTATATAAATACAAGTTGTCGTTGTTGTTCAAAAAGAGAATGGAGTTTCTTCTGGTGTCTTGGCGATCAATCTTCCAGACACAATTTATTATTCACTTTATGGCTGTTTGCGGAAAATTGCTGTGTGCGAATTGACTGCATGTTTGGCAGCAAATAGACAGTTACTATCCATTTCAGCAATGCTCCGTGAAGAGCTTTGAGACATTTATTAATGATAACAAACTAATGGTAATAATCCATGGATTTGAAATAATGCCTTTCGCGTCAGGAAGATGTCTCAAAGTCCTTCCTAAGACTTTATTGTAAATTATAGTGGATGTATTTTTTGTAGGTGAATGTTTGAACGTTATAGGCACTATATTGAATGTGAGATTTGTATTTTTAATTGTAAGGGGAAAGAGAGCACCCTTGCTTGTCTTTACTCCATCAAAGTGGAGCCTGGCACCAACACTGACACTGAGATCCTGGAATATTGTAAAGCTTGTTATATTAATTCTTGCATTTGATTTAGCACCTTATCATGTCATTCAGATGTCTCAAAGCACTTCACAGACTGTACTGTAAAGTGAAAACGTGGCAGCCAATCGCATACAGCAACATCTCACAAAAAGTCATGGATTGACTGACAACATTTTTGTTAAGGGATTATTACCCCAGGAAAGCGATCCGCCAATCAACTAACAAACAGGTTCCTATTTACTACTAGGTAAACAGGTGTGCGCAGTAAGGAAACTTGCCTAAGGTTTCACGCTGCCCGGATCCTCTCATTTGGAGGCAAGTGCTCTAACCTCTACCCTGCAGGACTCCACACCCTCATTCACTCACTTCATCAGGTCAGGTAACAGCACAGCCCAGGAGATTTTAACCCTGCAGCCTTTAAAATCTCTATTGGACTTGGACTTAACTCCAAGGTAAGTTTTTGTTTGAGTGGGATTGAGGTCAGTCTCTATTATTAATTAGTACAAAGAATGGATGGAGCAGCTAGCAAGGAGTTCATTACACACATGGCTACAGTTTGAGTGTGTGCTCAGTAAACAGTCACACTCAGTGGTGGCAGCTAAGCATTACTGGGGATCAGCATTAAGAGAGATTGAAACTACAAAATCTGGATTCTTCTTAAGAGGCTGACATACCAGGGACAGTTGGCAATCCCACAGAAGACGATTGCATAAAATATAGGCATAAAAATGGCTATTATTAGCGACCAGCATATGATAAACCACGCAGTCACAGAATATAATTAAACCGAAAGGATGGAGCCCATTTTGCCAGGCAGTCACCAGGCAAATTCTGGAACCTGAACCCACAGGCACTGCCTTCCCCCACCTAGATTCCAATCCCACTGCCTTAAGCAAAAAAGTGATTTGTGTAATTTGTACGTGTTCCACAACTGTTTTTTGCAGGTTATAAACGTTTGAATTATATGTAGAACCGTAGAAGCAGCATAGAAAGTGCCCATTCTGCCCATTATGCCCGAGCTTGCCTCACTGAAAGAGCAATTTGTTTAATCCTGCCTTTTCTTCATTCCCTTTTATATTTCTCCTTTTCCGATATTTGTCTAAATTCCCTCCAACAAGCAAATAGAGACATTTTGGACTGAATATATCTTCAGTAGCTTGAACACTAATAATAACACAAAGAAAACGAATGGAGAAACAACAGTCTATGTATTTTGCTATCTTCTCAGTGGAAGCCACTGTTGAAACTCCAGTTCACTCTCATTCCTCTATCACTCCGTGGAAAAAAGATGGAAGTTTCAATGTTCTCTTGGGTAGAAAGTCCACCCTCGTGTACATCTATTCTATTTAGCATTTCAGAGTGTCCAGAACTTGGCAAATAGTTAAAGACTTTTTGAAGCCATTTCTAAGACTATGTGTCAGTCTGGCTCAGTGGCAGCACTCTTGCCTCTGAGTCAGAAGGTGGTGGGTTCAAGCCCCACGTTGGGACTTGGAATCACAAGGTCTAAGCTGACACTCCATTGCAGCAATGGGGGTGTGTTGCATTGTCGGAGGTCCTGATGGAATTTCTTCCTCTATGTGTTGGAAAGAGCTCATAAATCTTTCAGCACTGGACCCCTTTTCATGAGTACTCACGTTGAAACAGTGTTTGCTATGAATACAATTACGAATGGTTTTAAACATTTGGAAGAAGCCTGTTATATATCAACGTATTTAAAGCAGAACTTTGTCAGTTGAATTTTTTTCCGCTTATCCAAGGAGTGAAAGTGCTTTCCATGAAACATGTAACACATCTATCACAGTTCTCTTAATTGATGTTTCTAGATTTAACCTTCAGGCAAGTGCTGAGCCATTGAAGAAGTGTGTGTTTGAGGTCTTGCCCTCCTCTGGTTCTGCTTCTACCCTGAAGCTACTCTTTAGATCATTATACGGTATGTCTCATAAGCTCGTCTCCCGCAGGAACATAGTTCCAATACTGTAGGATTTTTTTCTTGTGCACGAAGGTGAACTTATCATCTTCGATGGATTCTGTCGAACATTGGCCTCCAGAAAGTAACATATTCCATGGATTTCCTTTGGGAAGTTCTCTGGAAGCTCACTTCTGGAGCGAGGCATGAATATAAAGCTCTCATCTCCCTTTAGTAACCTGCAGTTCAAACCAAACAGAGTGTAAAAGGGACATAGGCAACAGAAACAGTCAGTTTTTAATACATACATTGATCATGCAATGGACTAGTCTTGATAGGAACTTAGGAACATAGGAATTAGGAGAAGTAGGCATTCCGCAGTTCTTGCAAATAAATGTAACAATGTTCCATGAGGTCAGCCTGGAGCTGCAGCTTACAGACCAGAAGTTTTCTGGTTTAAATCCCAGTCCGTGCTGAGTGCTAGCTTCAGCTGGACTGCATTGCAAGGCTAGACTGGCCCCTGGCATCCCATGGAGAGGGAAGAGAAAACCAACCAGACATCCTGCTCCTTCTCCTGGTCCCTATTTAGCCCCCTCTACTGGTTGTGTGGTCATAAGGCAGCCAGGTAAGCAGAGGATGTTGACAGTATGAGGACTTAAATAGTTGTAACACGTTAAAAGAGGATCAAGTTTACTGTTATTACAAATGTGAACACTGGAAACTAACAAACAACAACTTGCATTTATATAAGACCCTTCAGGTCTCAGATGGAATAAGCTCTTGGTGGAATAACGTGTTGAAGAGCTTTACAGTGGTGGGGACGGATGCTGAGCAAAGGGAAGAGGAAAGGGGAGGAAACCTACCCAGGATCAGACCACATTTGAAACAGACAGGCCAATTAACGTTCTTCAGAACATGAGGCTGTTTTTCCTCTTTTAGGTGCCAATTGATTTGTTGCGGATTTCCAGCGTACCTGTTTTTTGTCTCAGGTTTAATGCTATTGACAAGCCTGTGTGACTTTGATCCTTTTCACCTAATTGAAATGCCAGCAGTTCACTGGGTACTTTAACAGAGCTGGATTGCGAGCTTTGCCACTTGGTGTTTCAATCCTATTTATATTGAAAGACGCGCCACATTTAATAATAATCATCCTTGAATTTGATATAGAGCCTTATCACGTCGTTGAGGCATCTCAAAGTGCTTCACAGGATATACCGTAAAGTGGAGTGACTGTGTATTTTGTGGGTGAAATACGGTGGCAGCTAGCTGGCACAGCAATATCCCACAAACAGCTATGGAGTGAGTGATCAATTTTACTTTGGGGGGTTTGTTGGCCAGGACACTGGGAGAGAGAAACTCGCTTCTCTTTCCAAATAGCACCATGGGACCGTCAACATTTTTAATTATTATTGAAATGATAATAATAATTTTTTTTCAAAAGATCATTCATTACTGCCGAGGCACAGCTGGTTTAAGTTTGTTTTGGTTTCCCACTAGAACCAGATGCGGAAGGAATTGCGTCAATCTCTCCCGTTGCGTCTTCCGTTGAAACCCCGCTGCACAGATGAAAAAGATCACCGCCTGAGGCACTACAGTAAATGATGTAGCTTGTCTCCCACGCTCTGGTGCATTGTGAACATTTTGGAAAAAAATCCTTGGCAGGAACAGTAGTCAATGAGTGTGCAGTGGACACTGATACTTTTAAATGCGGCACAATGAATCTAATGAAGATTATTTCCCTCAACAGCTGGTAAGAGCCACAATTAAATTGCACATTTCCTGTTTTAAAATGTTATCCCTATCAGACTTGACTTCACTTCAAACCACCTCAACTCACAGTTTACAGATGACTTGAGCTGAACATAAGGCATTTGAGATCATTCCTGGGATCAGTTGTTTAGATATATTCATGAGACCTTCATTTGATGATTTAAGCCAATGACATTACCGATTTTCTGTATTTCAAAGCCTGAAATCCCCAGTCTTAAAACTATATATAGCCTTATAATTTGTTTGTCAGCCTGGCTCAATTGGTAGCACTCTCAACTGAGTCAAAAGGTTGAGGGTTCAAGCCCTACTTCAGGATCTGGAACTCATATAATCTAAGCTGCCACTGCAACTAATTTGCAGTGAGAGGGAGTGTGCTGCATTGTTGGAGGTGCTGTACTTCAGATGAGACATTAAGCCAAGGTTGTGTCTGTCTGTTCAGGTTGATGTAAAAAAATCCCACTATACACAAAGAGAAGGGAGTTTCCTCTAGTGTCCTTGCCAAAAATTCCCCAATGCTGTGCACAAATTGGCCACCTCGTTCACCCACAAAACACAGTCACTACACTTTACAGTATATCCTGTAAAGTACTTTGAGATGCCTTCCCAATGTGAAAGGCAAAATACCAAATGTAAGGATTATTATAATTACAATTCAAAATTAAGTAGAATTTTGGATAATTTCTCAATTTGGAAATTTGGAAGTCAGTTTTCCCCAGTACCTTTGAAGACTTTTTAAAGGACTGCAGAAAATCAGCTTGCAAATTCCGACTGAATTTAAGAATTATCCCAAATGTCACAAGATTTTAATTGTTAAGACAATGGTCTTAGGCGAATACCATTAAATTTTTGTAGCTGCATTGTTTAATATTTATATGAATTTTGCAGCGTTAACATTTGCCTTCCTAAATGGCAATAATTAAAATCACCCATGATTAAAATCATCAGAACCTGTACAAATTGGGAGAGACAACAGTTTAGAAGCTACAGACTGACATACATGTCAAAATAATTAAATTAGCTGCCTTTTTCACAGCCTCAATGAAGTAGGCATTAGCAGAAAGCAATTAGCATTGTAATGCTTCATTGTTACTAATGTATCTGAACTACTCAAATTACATTAATAAGAGCAATTATCACATTTGTACAGTGTCGTCTGTGAAATGTTGATTGAAATCTGCAACTTTGTGTCCTTTTCTCTCTCCCTGGTTTGGAGAATGTAATTAGAATAACATTGAACAGCACACTTAAATGTGTGAAGTGGAGTGAATATGTGACAGACCTTTTATCATGTCGCCAGCATTTGATGGCATTCACTGCAAATAAGGCTGGTGGCCGCTCAGCAGTGCGACTGCATGCCCTGCAATGGAAAAATCTACCACATGCTGCACTTTGTGCTGGCTGCTGGGGAAATAAGAGAGCAAAAAACACCAGAAGACTTTTCATCTTGTGTCTGGTCAAGGACGTGAGGTACAATGTGATCCTCCTTGATTTTACTGCCTTTTTTTTGGTCAGCCGGATATCTGACACATGCAGAAACCCATCACCATGCTTAAGAGTATCCAAACCGAACTGAGAGTTCCATTCATCCCACCTACACATGGAAATTCCAGAGATATTTATTGGAGGGATGTATCCTAATTACCTAATTCTGGAGAGTATTAGGTGCAGATTGGCAAGAGCCAAGGCTTGGGGACTCCAGATTGTGCTTCGGGGAACTGCCGGAGTCTAACCAATGAAAGCACTATTTGGCAAGCTTTCCTGCTGCTTTAGCAGCTAAAACCATCCTACCCGTTAATGCTTTGGCTTGCAGGACTAATAGTGCAGGAGCTAAAAGCTTAGTGACCCTAGTGACTGGAGAGAGGAATTAAAATAGAGGGCTTATATGGAGGAAACACCAACTGATTGATAGACTGATTCTGAGCTGTAACATTTTATGATCCGACATCTAAGAGCCTGTTACAGTCTTCACTGTCTCGTTCACAGTGTGAGATGTGCCGTGCTTTGTACTTACTGGTACGTTGTGGGGCTGACATTGATATGTCGGGGTTGACTCCAAGACTCAAATTTGCTGGCCAGAGTGACATTGTTGCCAAATAAGCAGTAGCGAGGCATTTTTACACCAACAACCCCTGCCAGCACAGAGCCAGAATGGATCCCAATCCGCACCTTAAAATAGAAAGGACAACATTAGCATATTTCAGGATTTTGTTTTGCACTTTTCTCCCTCCTCTCCTCTGACGCTGACCCTTGCTAGGGCGTGATTCTCTGGATGCTGACAGTCCTTTGGTAATTCATCCAAAGTAGCCAGACTTGATGTGTAAACTGAGTTGGGGTCAGAAGACTATTTGACCAAATCACAACCGAGCCTAATTCTGTCAACCGATATCCACTGACACAAGCCCTGCAGCAGACGGTGTAGACTCATTGGGCCAAATGGACTCCTTAAATGATTCTTGAACACGAGTGAACATGTGGTGGATTAAGATAGCATTTACTAAAAGAAAACAGTGTTCAAACTTCCTTTGCAACAGTCCAGAGGCACGGGTTACAGGGGGAAAAACTGAACATTTCTCTACCATACATTAGGAGCAAAACTCAACTCAGTCCAGGCAAATGTCAGCTTAATTGAAGGACATGTAGAAAAATACCTTCAAACATTGTGCCCTGCTTTAAGTGGGCTATTGAGATACACAACCATCTGTAGCAGCACTAACAGATTTCTCATAAATGAGAAACGGAATCTTCTGCTACGTGATTTACATTTTATTTTTTTCAGATGAACGCACATAGCTACAAATTGAAATGAACCTTAAAGCGTCCCATAACCCATGTAGCTCAGTGGTTAGAGCAATCGCCTCGCAAACGAAAGTACCTGGGTTCGATTCACGGACTGGATGAAACATTGGGCAAGTTTCTTTACTCCACAAGCCTCTGTTTAACAAGCAGTAAGTAGGAACCCGGTTGTTAATCATTTTCTGGGGGTATAAATCCCTTCAAAAAAAATCAATAAATAAAAATAACAATTTGATCACTCAATCCACGACTGTTTGTGGGACACTACTGTGCGCAATTGGTTGCTAAGTTTCGCCCACAAAATATACAGTCAATTTAGTTTACAGTATATTCTGTGAAATGCTTTGAAACGTCTCGAAGACGTGATAAGTTATAATTGCATTTAAATCAGCGTGCCGTCCCCCACCCCACACTAACAGCCCCCCCACACTAATAGCCTCCCCCTCCCCACACTAACAGCACCCCCCCTCACCAACAGCTTCCCCACACACTAAACAGCCTCTCCCTCCCCCACTAACAGTCTGCCCCTCCCCACACTAACAGCCCCCCCACACTAACAGCCCCCCCACACTAACAGCTCTCCCCCTCCCCACACTATCAATAATCAAAAGCAAAGTCAAATTTGTTCAATGCATCATCAATCTGCATTAATATGCTTTGTTTTGAGAACTAACACTTGTTTTGTTAAGATACTCGGAGAACATGTGGATTTATACCTAACTAGAAAAGAAGTATAAAGATATGGGAAATCTGGTGTTCAGTAATACAGACAGAGACAGTAAACTACAGTCAGACACCTATAATTAACACATAGATGGATTACTTCTGCAATCATTTTCACGACAGGTACTCCTTCTTGAATACCATGCTAAGTTCACGTTTTTGAAATAATAATTGCTTTGGGTTCTGTCACTGTCATCCTGTTATCGGGATCAGTACACAATGGGGCCTTCTGAGTAATAACCGTGATTCAGACAGGAACATTTTGTTCACCATGTGGCTGGTTCCTTTAGAAGCCAATTGCTGACATTTTGTCACTGTCAATTACAGTTCCATTTGCTGCAGCTGGAAAGATTTATTTCCCCATTGACCACCCGTAATATTTTTCTTTTCATGTCTCACATCAACATCACTCACTTCTTCATTCCCTCCTTCACACAGATATAGGGCAGTGAGGAGTTAGATGGATCACCTTAGTAGCTGACTGACCAAGGTGTCCTGCACTTCAGCACTACTCTCTTCCTGCTGCCTTCTTGCCTGCTCTATTAGGATAAAGTGCTTCATTCATTAAAACTGATCCATTAATAGTCGTTGAAATTAAATTCTCGAATGAGAATAGAATTTGAATTCACAATACAACAATACAAATTTACATTGACATGGTGCCTTCACATCAGAAGGATGTCTCAAAGTACTTAACAGAACTGGCTGGGCACTCAAGCTAGGGGTGGCAGCGAGGGGTTTACGGAGGAGAATGATGACTGAAAGCACAATTAAAGAGGTAGGTCTTGAGATCAACCTTAAACAAAGTGAAGGAGGGAACGAGTTGGAAGAACTGTGGGACTGAACTCCCTGAAATATACAGTCAATTCACTTTACAGTATATTCTGTGAAGCACTTTCAGACGTCTCGAAGATGTGATAAGGCGCTATATCAAATGCAAAAAATATTATAACTCCAGAGAGTGGAATCGAAAGGTTGAAAGCCCACCCACTGGTGGTGCAGGGGATAGGGTGGGGGACATGGAGAAGGCTGGTTCCCACTGAGTGAAGGGAGCAGCCGGGGAAGTAGGATTTGACGAGGTTGCAGAGGTAGAGTGGGGGTGAAACTGTAGAGAAATTTAAATATGAGAATGAGGATCTTGAACTCAAGAATGTGAACACACCCATCGAATGCAAACCCTAAAACTCTCTCTGTTGGCTCCACAAAGTTTCCGAATAAACTCTCTTTGATTCACAGACAACTCTGAGATTCAGATGGTTTTAAAATTAGAATTTTAATCTTATAGGAAAGAGGAGTCAAATATCCAGCATCACAATTCTAACTTACCATTCAACAAAAAGAACAAAGGTCCTCCAAAAGTCTCAGCCGCTGGATTATAAATGAAGCCTGATCGCCTAACAACAGCAAGATTACATTTGTATAGCGCCTTTCACGTCGGGAGGACGTTCCAAGGCGCTGGACAGTGAACAGCATTTCAGACCCGAGCTGGGGTCGGGGGGGTAAGGGCGGGGAGGGCAAGGGGGTGGCCGATGGCATGGTCGAAGAGGAGGGTCTTGAAGTGGGACTTGAAGGAGGCTAAGGAGGAGGTGAGGCGGAGTGACTGGGGGATGGAATTCCAGATTTTGGGTGCAGAGTGGCTGAAGCCTCTCATGCCAATGGTGGGGCGGGTGGGTCAAGGGACGTGGAGCAGGCCAGAGCCGACTGAGTGGAGGGAAAGGACGGGTTGGTAGGGGGTTAGGAGGTCGCAGATGTAGGGTGGGGTGAGGCCATGGAAGGCTTTGTAGGTGAGGATGAGGATCATGAACTGGATCCTCTGAAGGAAATGGAGCCAGTGGAGTTGGGCAAGAGTGGGGGAGATGGGGCCACGGAGTTTGGTGCGGGGGAGGACACGGGCTGCAGAGTTCTGGATTATCTGCAGCCTGTGGAGGGAGGAGTTGGGAAGACCGACAAGCAGGCCGTTTGCATAGTTGAGCCAGGAAACCAGCAAACATTGGGGTTTTATTTTTACTATTACTTTACACAGAGAGTCGTGGTCAATATGTGGAATAGACTACCTAGGGAGGCAGTGCAGGCAGATTATTTTAGCAACAGCAACTATTTTTATAGAGCCTCAAGCACTTTGAGACATCAAGCAAAAGGCACTATAGACAGATAAATTGTATTGTAATGCAAACATCAGCAAGTAAAAGTCTCAAAACACTTCACACACGGCTGACTAAGCACCCGAGCTGGAGGAGAGGAGTTGCTGAGGAGAGGAGGGTGGGTGGGGGGAAAGGTGACTAAAAATGTTACTGCGCGAAGTTGGCATGTACATTGAGGGATAAGCAAACCAATGGCAGGCAGCGTTACGGAGGTTGTGGAGGGGGTGATGCAACACAAGCAGCTTGTGGAAGGCTTGACGAGGAACTCTCTCCCCCAAAAGGCTGTGGATGCTGGATCCGTTCAAATTTTCAAGACAGAAGTGGGTAGATAATAATAATAATCCTTGCGTTTCATATAGTGCCTTACCATGTCTTCAAGACATTTCAAATCATTTCACAAAATATACTGGAATGTGTAGAGGCTGTATTTGTAGGCGAAATGCGGCAGCCAATTGTTAGTTAAGGGTATCAAGGGATATGGGGTAAAGGTGAGTATTTGGTGTTGAGGTACAGATCAGACATAATCTAATAGAATGGCGGAACAGGCTTGAGGGGCTGAATGGTCTTCTCCTGACCCTATGGTGGAGCAAGCAGCGTCACTTGGTGGTGGTTGGAGACGTTTTGTCAAACAAAAATTTCCAACAAGAGACAAACTTGGTGCTGAAGGTTACTTTGGTATTGCAACAATTACGCTAATATGAGCAAGAAAAGCTAAGATGAAAGAGATCTATATCTGATTACCTAATGCCTAGTTGGCTTGGTGAACATTCGCTGCTTTGCAGAGGAAATATTTTCTCGCACAGCTGCTAAATTCTCTGCCTCATTTATCTCGCTCAAGGTACAATAATAAAGATTAATGAATGCCTTATGAGGTTTGGGGAGAGTGGGCAACAAAGGTAATTCTGCTGTTTATTGCAATGCAGCACTGTTCTAATTGTCAAGTCGTGCACTCCTGAGCAACCAAACCTGCATGATCTTAATTTGCAGTTCAATATGATCAAATTTCCATCGTTCTTAATAAGCCACTGTTCATCATGTTCTGTACGAGCACCAACACCACACCCAATTATTTGGAGACTATATTCACACTCAGACCTCTGAAATTTCACTCAGGCTTAGCCTCAATTCCATTGTCTTAAACTGTAAGATTGTTCGGAGTTTTAGAAAAGTCTTAAACTCAGTTTTAAGGCAACTTTTGCAGACTCCTCTGTGATGTAACTCCAACCTCAACATTTCTGCAAGCCCTCTATTCATCTAGCAAATACAGTTCCTTGGCTACATCTCAACTGGACCAGAACACTGCAAATAACACAATGGAGTCCAATTTGCAGTACTTTTAAGGAATTGTATTAAATTCCAGTTAACCTGAGGGATATCCACCCACTCTGGAAGCCAATGGTGTCAGAATGGAGTTCCCATGTGACAGCTGGCGTACTTCCTGCTACTAGAAAGAGTTACCGTTTGTGTGACTTGGATTCCATTAAGAAATAGCGCAAATTAAATTCCATT